GAATGTCTTTAGCTATTAAAATATGGCCTCATTACATTGAAGGTAAAATAATGAACAAAGATAAATAAACCCCCATTTTTGTGCGATTTTTGTCACATTTTCTCCCAATGTTTACTACATACGCCATCAAATACCAATCAACTGTTTAGAGAATAATTATACCTATATGAAATAACAAGCAGTTGTTAAAGATTCTTTTTTCTAGCTGTCACTGATAATTTTGTTTACTTGAATGTTTATTACAAATACTGTACCAATTCTGATCACATTTTGTTTATAGAATTCTTGTTTATAGAAATATTTTAGGAAAAATCCAATAAGACAAATTGAAATTTGCTTAGTATGCAGGTTTGCTGCGGTGGGTCTAATATCCTATACTGTATCTATAATTCTATACTCTATACTATTATATAACAATCTAATGGTGTGTCTGTCTGTATGTGTATTACTAATAGGCGCAAAACCCACTGAACTGACTAGGCTTAAATTTTACAAAAATATAGCTACCATACCAAGAATGGTAATAGGACTATTCACACATTGACACTGACCGTGATCTTTGCCCCTTTGGCTTTAAAAGTTCTGAGGTGAGGATTTTAAAAGTAAACATTGATTTGGTCTCCATGGCTGTCAAGAGAACACTCACAATGTTTACTTTTGGTTTGTAATTTCAATGTGAACAAGCCTGAACTGCCAAATTGCATATTACGATTTTACACAATTTCAGACAGCTAATCCAAAGAAATTAAATATAATATTTTATACAAGGATATGTAGGTTTATCTAAACCTTATTCATATGTTATTTATTCTAAAACTATGTCAATGATTATAGAAATAAAAAAATATGCTATGTTGCTTTACAGGTATTGAAATATTTTCATGGAAACAGTATGAAAATTACAACGTATAGATGTTTTGTATGAATTTGGAGGCATTTTTTTTTATAAATTTGATTGCTTAACATGCGTTAGATTAACTTAACATAACTTGCATTTCAAATTGACATTTTTATATTTAGGAAAATTTAGTAGGTAATTGTTTTTTTGCTACACCTATCCTTAAATTAAACTAAAGAATATCATAAATAACTAAATTGTGATTTTTATGTTCTATAATTTGTGGTACTGTATGTGTGTGACTATACTTAATTATTAATGGTAATACAAAATACCCTTAACATAGTTTGCAGTTCACATTTACTTTAAGTTACTTTATTTACTTTGTTCAAATTTAGTCAATTTATTTGTGTTTTTCTACACCACTAACTAAATTAAACCAAGGAAAATATCAAAAAACTAGTTGTACACAGTGTTCTTTTGTTTCTAAAATCAATTAAATAACTGTTACTATGTTTACTTAATGATAAGTGTGAAAATGTAAAGGCAATGGACTATGGAACTGATTAAAAGAACTAGTTATGATTTAGGTAACATTCATTATTATCGATGATTTCTTTCCGATATATCGACTATTGATATTAACAAATCCAAACTTATCAGCTGACAACTACAATAATTTAATAAATATTGTTCAGTATCAAAAACAATTAAAAAAAAAATTATATTGAAATAAAACTATTCTAAACTAACCTAACTAACCAAACTTGCTGTAGTAACTAATTTCAAAATTCTGTTTCATAGCCTATTCCCCATATGCCTTTTCTGTTATCAAACGGGATTTTGAAACCGTAACTTGTCTACAGCAAGTTTGGTTAGTTATGTTAGGTTAGCTTAGAAAAGTTTCATTCCTTAATCCAATATATAGGCTATTATTTTTGCCTAAACAAGATTAGTTCTTAATCCTATTCTCTAATACGAGCTATAACTCAATAACTTGGTTATTGAACCAAGTATAACTTAGACATATTTGCTATGTCTGTTTGTCTGTCTATCTGTAATTTAAATGCGTTTGAAGATATTAAAATAGATGGAATATTGATCGTAAAGGAAAACAAAAATATGGTTATATCGAAAAGAAATCATTGATAATAATGAATTTTCCCCTTAACAGGATAGTACCCCTTTTCTCAGTCTATATTTACTTAAAAAATACATGTTAAGGTGAACGTTGAAGACCAGGAAACTTGATCCAGGTAGGACTACTGTTGTCAACTTTCTGGAATAACTGTATGGACATACCTATTTTAGACGAAGATAATCTGTAATTATTTAATTTTAAGTAAATATTGTTACAAAATAAAAAAATTATAGAAACTGGAGCATCACAAAGAATTGTCAGTAAGAATCCTATATTAAAATCCAAATGAAATGAAAATTTGCGTATAATTTTTCTTTTTAATGGATTGACGAGAAAGAAATTAGGTGCCGTAAAATACATGGATTCTGAGTTGTAAAATGTTACTGTAAACAGATGAATATTTTTATATTTAATTGTAAAATTAAACTGTTTTGGTGTAAATAACTGATCAAATATACTGAACAAAGATTATTCGGTTTTATCCGCATAAATTATGGGGGTGCATGTAATGGATTAGTGTAGAATGTTTTGAGATGATCTGTGTGGCTTTGTTACTGACTAAGATCAGCTATTTCTTTAGTGAGGATCATTTTATTTTTAGCCCAATGATTAGGAAGAGCTGGGTCCAGTTTTGAACGATCAAAAAGATACTGACTTATCTCAGGATCGAACCAGTGCCACCAGTTTTTATAGTGGTTGTTGGACAAGCACTATAACCACTCGACTACCCAGCCAACAACCATACCAAACTATTTTGATGTAAACAATCACACCATACCTAGTTTAAGTTTTATTGAAATAGATTTAAAAAAAATTTTACAGTTAAAATTAACTTTAATTGGCACTAATGAGTGGCCATGTGAGGTTTTGTATTCAGCTGCTGAAGGTTAGTTTGGAGAATAATTAACCAGTCTGTACAGCCAATTAACACAAGCCTAAAACTAATTAACACTGACTTGTTATTATCTTACATAGGCCTACCTACTTCTACATTTTGATGATTTCTTAGCTGGGCAGCTAAATGGACCTGACTTACTCCAAAACGAGCACAAAAATCATCAGCTCAATAAAAAATTAGCCTTGATTCTAATTAATTATTTCAAGTTCAATCAGTTTCATCAACTTTACGTAGGTAGGTTTTAATACATATTATGAATAAGGCTGACTGGGTTGCGGGACTTGCGTATAAAAAAAAGCCATTGTGACTGGCAGGATTAGAACCTGTGACACGATGACTTAGATTCTGCACTCAAATCACTTCCTGTTTTATATATATATACTAGCTGACCCGGCGAACTTCGTATCGCCTAAGTTATAGGTTTCCCCTAAGACAGACCGATGGAAAGAAAGTACCGTTACGTTTAATTTTCAAGATGATCTCGTTCGCATCGCTCAATCACGTCCTGGTTGAAGTTCGTTCGCTACGCTCACTCACCTTTGGGTTGGAGCTCGTTCGCTACGCTCACTCACCTTTAGGTTGGAGCTCGTTCGCTGCGCTCACTTGCCTTCAGGTTAGCTCGTTCGCTACGCTAACTCGCCTCCAGGTTGAAGTTCGTTCGCTACGCTAACTCACCTTTAGGTTGGAGCTCGTTCGCTGCGCTCACTTGCCTTCAGGTTAGCTCGTTCGCTACGCTAACTCGCCTCCAGGTTGAAGTTCGTTCGCTACGCTCACTCACCTTTTGGTTGCAAATTAGCTGTTGTCATAAATGTAAAAGAAATAATAGTGCTGCACCCTGTTGGTAATCCTTGTAACTTTAATGCTATTGTACATCATAGAACAGAACCAACTTGTTTAATTGAAACAGCTGTTAAGATTCATTAATTCCATTTCTCATAAGGTTAACATGGGAAACTCCAGAGCCACTGGGGCGGAGCCCTTTTAACAATTTCGAAACGGGAAATAGTTTACGTCCGATTCGCATACCTACAGAATTTACACACCAAATTTCATAACGATCGGTGAAGTCGTTCCGGAGGAGTTTGCAGACAAACACTGTGACACGAGAATTTTATATATTAGATAATATATATATATATATATATATATACATTTTTTGTCCTTGATCCAACCTCTGCCCAACCCCTGAATACGAGCCCAGAGACACTGCCTGGTACGGTAGTAGGACTACGGACCCAGGATCAAGAGTGTATATACGATGGTACATGGAAACATATGTGTTAGGATAAGGATAGTATGGAATAAAATGGAAGTGTGAGATACTCCGTCTTTTCACTTATCAGCCCTTAACACCCTTGAGAAGGCCTAGGGTTCTGGGGGAAACTTCCTCGCAAGATTTTGCCCATCAGGCCCCTCACCAGTGGCTCAGCACGCCCATCCGGTGGGGTCGGGCCCGGAGGCTTAACTGACTTCTTGGTACCAAACACCCTGGATTTATACCCGCCGAATGGTACCCAAGAGGTGGGGGTGAGTACTTTACCTTCCCTATCGGAGCATCTTTCCCCTCCTTAGGAATCATTCTCGTGTCTCCGAGTACTTTTGTACCTTTAACCTCAAACCTATCTTAGGGGGTCAAAAACACTTCTTTACAAGAAAACACAAGAATTAATGTGTGTTTGCTAAAACTACTGTCTGCTCAATAATAATTGTAGATTCGCGTAGTTTAGGTACAACCAGAAGTACTGGCTGGCAAAAAGCACTAACTTTTACTATAAATACAAATATTTTTTTTCTTCCTTGGCCAGCCAAACGTGTTAAATGATGTGTACACGTAAGTGTTTCAATCGTATGTACAACATACGTGTGCTAGGTCGTTGTATGAATGAGGATGACTAGTGTTCAACATAGAATATGGAAAATCTGGCAATGAGACAACATACGCCTTGCAACTTTCATCACTAGGATCCGCACCTTGCTACTGCATTGGGCCAATTTAAACGTGATGAAGAACTGGGCTGTATAACTAAAAAATAACATGTACATCATCCAAAGGTTTTTTTAACAAAACAAAAATATATGTGTTTATAAAATTAACATGCTAAATGTTAAAAATTCTCACTTACATTTTATAAGTTCAACCACCTCAGTGTGCGTCGAATGAGTTACATTCACTCCGTTCACCTGAAATTAAAATAATATATTAAAATAATTACAGATTACTTTAAAAAGTTAAAAATACAAACTGGAAAAACTGGTTACTAAACAATATAGTGAAGAATATAAAAATCACAAGTCAATGGAAATATAATATTGTCTGAAAGTTAATGAAAGACAAAATGTTAAGGTTTTGGTAATAAAATTGTTAAGGTTAATGGTCTCTTTGGTTCAGGTGAGTAGTAAAAAAAATGGGTAGTAACATTTTCAATGACCAAACAGAGTAATATTTAAAATACAAACATTTATAGAATGTTAACGTCTTGTAGCTGTTTTATGGGTAGTAGAATAGTTAAATTATCTAGCCTACATAATGTACGAAAATGTTTACAAATAAATTAGTTAACTTAGCCTAAAGGCTTGGAATTTCAATAAAATAAGTACCACATAGGTAACAGCTAAAGTCAATCTATAATTTTAATTTAACAATAAGTTAATCCTCAATTTTTTTGGACTACAGTATCCTCAAGTTGGAGTTGACTTAGATATAGATATAGATAGTTATAATTAATTTACCTTGATAATTTTGTCCCCACTATGGAGGCCAGCTCGTTCCGCCGCACCACCTGAAACCAAATGTTTAAAAACTTTAACTTTAACTAAAAAGAGACAATAATTAAAGATTACGTAAAGTCTAAAGACATGGTTTGTGTGAATACAGACAAAATGAGCATACAGGCTGTACTTGTCTGTAGGCATGTAATTGTATTCTATGACATATTTTCATAGGTTTTTATGATAAAAACAATAAAATATCAAACAAATTTGAATGCAACAAATCTAAATGACAAGCAAACAATGTAGCCTACAGTATTACAGTAAAAACTTTTTTCCGGTCAAATCAATACCAGGATTAACTGAGAACATCATAAAAATTGATATTATTAGGAAAATGAGCTAGGCAACAGAATTGTGGCACAAGTACGGTTTTGCCGAAGGAATGTAAGCGGACCAAAACATGGATCTCTTACTGGAATGATATAGATCAGGCAACAACTGTTAATCATTCAAAAGCCTAGCAATTAAAAGGTAGCCGGGTCGATCTTGAGAAAAGTCAGTATCTTTTTGATGGTTTAAAACTAGACCTGAATCATTAGGCTTAAAAATGTGATCCTGGCTAATAGTTCAAGAACAGATTAAAGAGAGTAGACTCTACATCCACTCTCACTAATCTGTGATTTTTGTCACAAAAACACTGCTTACATAGCAGTTCCCTAACTTTGCAATATGGCGACCCACCTTCATCTTAGATCTTCTTTTGCGACCCACTTTTAGCAAATTTCCCTAGATGGGGAAGTTGCCATAGGTGGCATGGTAAATAAGACAAAGTCCTGGGACCGATTTACTTTTTAATTTTGGTGTCCCTAAAGGCAAAAAACACTATTTGTAATGTGGATAGCGAAAGGGACCTCTTGTCGACGATGCAAAATTTCAGTACCGCCGATATAAGTAAGTAAGTACCTAAGGTAGAAAATATTAAAATTCAGGTTTTTATCGATTGTTAAACCTTATTTGACATAGAACAGGACAGTATCGGTTAAAATATCGAATTGAAGATTTAAAAGGTCAAAATAAATCATTTGTTAGCCTCTGCACGGTCTGAGAAAAGGTACCACCTGTTGTCGCTCAATGTTATTTCGCCATATCGACAAGAGGACCCATTTCTAATATTCACTTTATAAACAGACTTTAGTCCAAAAAATGAATTGTCCTGCATTCTAGTGGGAATTTAGAGAACTACAACAAATTAAGTTTACTGAGAACCAAATATCTCACAAATTGTGCGGTCCCGACAAGAGGTACCTTTTCTAAATGCAAATTTTACGACATGCTTTGATAAAACAATTATTTTAATTAAAACTACCGTGAGTTAAGACAAAAATTGGTATTGCCTCCAAAGAGGACATAAGCTTTCTTTTGATACTGTTACCAAAATAGCTTCTTAAAATACGAAAAAACTGTTTTTATGCGTATTTGAAATTTTCAAAATAGTTTTCTCAAAATGACTCTTTTCCATAACAAAATTTCAAAGTCCTATGACTCAAACAAAAAAGATCGTAAAGGCATGGGACTTGCACCACGTAATTCGGAATACGGGGTTTTATGGGGTAAAAATTGGTTTTTTTCTAACTTTTGACCCTCTAAAACACAAAAAAAATCTTAATTTCTCTCCAGACCTTTTTAAAGAGCTTAAGAAACAAATAATTTAGTATATCAAAGTGTTTTTGTACAATTATTGGTTATTTTAAAATTCCCATGTTATTTTTATGGAGAATATTGTAAAATGTTGTATTTGGCTTGTTTACGGATATATTTTGATCACACTCGGCGGATTTATTTATTTCATACTATGCTATTGATATTTTAATAAAAAAACACACTTTAGGGCCCTTTCACACGAAGCGGCCACCACCACAGCTTTAACATTATTTTAAATGGGAGCCTTCACACGCAGCCACTTCAGTTGCCCGCCAGGACACATTGGCCAAACAGTGTCTCCTTGTGCAACTGCTAGTCGGCAGCCGCCGGCAACCGCAGTGGCGGCAACTCGCCGCGGGGCATTGAATTAAAAGGGAGCTTTCACACGAAGCAACCAGTGGCCGCCACCGTGGATGCGTGCGCAACTACTATTTTGGTTCAGTTTAAGTGCAGACTGCAGAGACAAACGCACTGTGGTAGTTGTTGAGTGTATTTGTGTTGATTGTTTGTTTGTGAAAATGAGTGATCAGAAGAAAAATAAAGAGGACATTGCTTAGACAGAAAAAGAAAGGATACAAAGGAAGAGGAACCGAATAAGAGACTAAACAAAATAATAAAAGACAAAGTGAATACTGAAGATCTAATCAGCTCTGAGCCTTCGATTAAATCTAATAAATAGATCAGTCAAAGCCGTGACAGCTTCGTATCACCCCTGGATTTTTCTCTGCTCCTTCTGAGCACTCCGGGGAAGAAATTTGAGTGGGGCTGGTTCTAGGGGTAGGCCTAGCCTGACTTTGGTGAATAGGCTACTAGTTTATTCCCCCCTAGAATTTTACGTCACGATTATTTATAGGTATCAAAACAGCGTTTGTCGGATTTATACTTTGTCTGTCATAACTAAAGTAGGCTTATGATTATTTGAATTGGTAAGAAATTTAATGTAAGTTTATTCAACAGCATATTTACCTTGATATTTTAATAGGCCTATGTGTTATATCTAGGCCTAATGGAAGTTTTAAAGTAGGACTGATTAATTAGTTACCCTCTAGCAGCTAACCTAGGTACTCGTTAAACATAAATGTTAATTTAATATATTATTTGAAAATCAATCCAGAGCAAATGGAAATTTTCTTAGTTGGCAGGTTTGCTGCGGCGGGGGTATTTTTTTGTAATATTATCATCTAAGGTTTCTCCTACCTTTTTTGCTCAAGGGCCACACTGACAATTTTTGGAGGAAAGGCGGGCCCGGACCTTTTTCAGTGTAGAAATGTAGCCCCCCTCAAAATAACCCAAAAAGAGGATGACACAACTCGAAATATTTTCGATGTACTACTAAGTTTACTTAATTGAAAGTAACATAATTGTTTGTAATGACGATAAGAATGGTTGACAATGAGTTTACAAGGAGTGTAAAGCTAAAATTGACATTAATCTTTAAGGATAAATTTGTATTTAGCCAAATCAGGGTTAAAGTTTGATGTCCTGCTCAGGATCACATAGCTTTGAAGATCTGTATTAAGATAGCTCAATCACTAGGCACATGTTTCCAGCTAATTTTCTCTTATTGGAAATAACTTGGAAAGTGTGAGAGAGGTGTATGGTACTAGTGGAGTCCCGATAATCCGAACTTCTGTAATCCGAGAGTCCACTTAATCCGAAAACCAAAAATTGAATTATTAACTTTTTTTTATTAAACGTTTAACACAGTTAGCTGTACCTGATCAAAGTATTCTGTAGCGGCCGGGCGAGATAGACTTGTTATTTAGAGTATTTTTAGTAAATATTTCACCATTTTTTATTAACTTATTTTAATTTTTGTCCTGGGTTCCAATCCCGCCACATCACAAATGGATTTTATTTAAGTGATAATGCTGCAGCCCCTAAGTCTAGCCTAAAGTAATGTGAAAAACAATACCTCGCGCCTAGCGTCCTAGAAGACAAAAAAAAAGAAGATATTTTTAAGAATAAAAAATAAACGTTTAATCCGAAATATTCGGTACGGGATCGTAACGGGACTCTACTTTATTGACATTTTTACACATTCTTATATTATAAACAGGATATCTGGGTAACCAGCCAACCTGGGCACCGATTACTTGTATTGTACTTGAATTCTGTATGGACCAAGGACTAGAATTGCCCATAAATCTCAATTCATTGTTGGCATTACATTGGTTCTCTTTTAACATCATAAGTAAATCATTATCACTAGAGAGCATCACAGATATTTTACTGAAACCGCAAGAGATGTTCACAGTGCAGTTGTGATAGCGGGAAACAATCGTGGTGAAGCCAGACTGCAAAATATGCTCCCGAGTGATGCCACAAACGTGAATATTGATCACGTTATCACCGAGGTCGCAACATTTACATGCGGGAATTGCCACGACCGTGAGTGAGGACCACAATAGTGCTGAGTTGCTGTGATCGCGGATGACGATCACGTTATCACGGAGACTGCAAAATTTACTTAGGAAATTGCTGCGACCATGAGGGACTATCACGGTATCGCTGAGACCGCAATATTTACTTAGGGATATGGCCACAACCGTGACGATCGCATTATCACAGAGACTGCAACATACTTTTGGGTATTGCCGGACCTTGAGTGACGACAACGATACCGCCGAGTTGCCTCGATTGTGAATGACGATCATGATATCACCGAGACTGAAACAATTACTTACTGGTGTTGCCACAACTTTGACGATCATCGATTTAGACCTATTACATAAAAATAATTAATTTCCCAGTAGGCCTTTGCAGGCCGGATAAAATATGTTCGCCGGCCAAAGGTTGAAGACCCCTGATCTAAGGTACTTTATCATCAAAAGTAGTTCTGATGTCTTTTATCTAAAACAACCCATGAAACATTAGGCCTACTAGTTTAAGTGAGGAGGATAGGTCAAAATTATTACTAGCCTACCATTACCAACCAAGATGAAGGTACAAATGGGCGCACTGTATTTTTATCCAAACGTAAATAAAGGAGTTTAAATTAAGTAGGCTAGTTCTGTTGTTTTTTTTTTATCTAAAACAACCCATGAAACATTCCTAGCTTAACCCTTTCAGTGCTATACGAAGATATTTATCATTGTGCGTCTTTTTCTCAAAAAGTGCTAGCTATGGAACGATATATCGTTGTTTGCGTTTCATCCTAAAGTGCGACAATATATCGTGCCAGCATGACCTCCTATTTGTTTAAATTGTGTGAGTTTAAATGGGCATATCGGGTGACTCAGTTGTTGAGTTGAAACAGTGATGGTTTCTTTTGGTTCCTCATTTGATCAAGGCCCAATGTACCGTTCGTTCCTTAGCACTTTTGAGATGAAAACTTTTTTTGAGGCCTACTAATTTTTTTCTCGCACACTAGACTTTGTCCCAATGACAAGCCTAGCACTTTTCGGACAAAATGAGTAAATAGCTCTAACATTTTTCGGAAAATTACAAAAAAGATTACAAAAAAGAATTACAAAGAGGATAGGTAAAAAATTATTCAGCCTACCATTACCAACAAAGATAAAGGTGCAAATTAATGGGATTATTTTTATCCAAATATTAGTAAAGGATCTTAAATTAGATCAATTGAGTAGGTAGTTTTGTTACTAATATCAACCTATAAAAATAATCACTCAACTACTTTTTAAGGTAGCCTATGTTGAAAAACTCTTACCTTCTTTAACGGATTGAACGTAAACAGGGTTGTCGCCTGACACCTTCATGCCATACCCCTTCTCATCCTTGTACACAGTGATGGTAACTTGCTGAAAGGGCAGGTGATTGGCATGAGGTGAAGTGCCGTCGGTGGCTGACACAGGTCTGGCACCCGGCGGTCGGCGGAACGACGGCCCGTTGGAGAGTCCTCCTCGGACACTGTTCCTGGGGAAAACAAACACTTTTAAGTATTTCTTCCTTAAGATTCGTACCTAACTAAATTACCTACAGTAAGTAGCCTCTCATAGCTAAATATTTTGTAAATTAATCACAGAATGGTGTAGGCCCTAGTTGCCTAACAACTGGCCGATGCAATAACGACTATTTGTTTATTTTCTTGAAAGGTTTTTGATTGTGCTTTATTTACATTGTGGAAATGTGTGGGTAACTTAAAGAGGGTTAAAGAAAGTCAGTAAAAGTTTTGTAGAATCTTTGCTCTTTTTTCTTGTACTTTTCTTGTAGGCTAATTTAAATAATTTTAATAAGCTAGAGGTAAAAGGGAATGACTGAAATTGAGGAATTAGGGTAAAATTGTTAGAGAAGTAATAGTTCCCATCTTGTCTTTACATCACCACCTGATCAAATATTAGTTGTCTTGTTTACCTTTTGTATGGTTTGGTTTGATGTAATTGTTAAAAAGATGTATTAATAATTTGTTCAGTATAAAAACGTTGTCCATTATATTTCTGGGCTATTTTAATTACATTAACTATTAGGTTATGGGCCTTTTAAAATTTGTAAATGTAAATTTTGTCATTGTAAATCCTGAAAGTAAGATATTTTCAACATAACTATTTTTCTTCTATTTGTTGCTGCTGCTATCATTGGTATTATTCATCATAGTGGAGTATCTTTTAAAATGGGGGAAAGAGACATGAAAATAGGAATTGAACTGCTTGAAGGAGTTTCCAACAACAATAACTGGAAGTTTGCAATGAAAATGGCCCTAATACACGAAGATATATGGAATACAATTGAACCGGATGATACACAAGGGGATGGTTTGGTAAGTGGAAAGAAACAAGATCAAAAAGCTCTTGCTAAAATATGTTTATTTGTAAAACCTTGTTGTTATCCTCACGTAAGAAATGCAAAAAATGCAAAAGAGGCTTGGGACAATCTTAAAAATGCATTCAAGGATAAGGGATTAGTTAAACGACTAAGTTTATTGAGGGTTTTATTCAATACTAAACTTTTTTAATTTGATTCAATGGACGCTTATGTTACAAAAAAAAAATTATGTTTGTTTCACAACAAATAGCAGACATAAGTAAGCCCATTGAAGATGAATTTCTTGCTGTAGTCATGCTGAATGGCTTGTCTAGTCATTATGAACCTATGGTTATGGCATTGGAAAACTCAGGAACCGAATTAACAGTTGAACTAGTCAAGTCTAAATTACTTCAAGAAGATTTAAAATCTGTCAGCCCTAGTCATAACATAGAAATGCATTAGCTACAAAACAGAACACTAAACGTTCTGACGTGATATGTTATCGATGCCACAAACATGGTCATAAAGCATCAGATTGTTTTACAAATTCTTCCAAAATCGGGAAGGGTACTAATCGGAACAAACGTGCTAATGAGATATCAAATAACAGTAATGAAAGCAGTGACTGGTGTATTCTATCGGCATTACCGGTAGAAGCCAAACTAGTGCTGATTGCTGGTATCTTGATTCAGCTTGTACCAATCACATACAGGTCAGAGAGATTTACTTCAAAAATACCAAAAGTATAGCAAAACTGGTATGGATGTCATTGTGGCGAACAATGAAAAACTAAAATGTGAAGGTCAAGGAGAAGCAACAGTCATGATAGATTCTGTTGAGAGAAAAGTTACTGATGTTGTCCATGTTCTTAATTTAAGTTTAAATTTGCTTTCTGTTAGTCAAATGGTAAATAAAGGTCTAACAATGTTTTTTTTCTGAAGACGGGTGTGATGTAGGCCTATACAAACAGGAGGACTGTAAAGTATCAGATCAGCCTGTAGCTCATGCCACAAATGTGGATGGTCTTTACAAGTTGGACATTGATCCTGATAACTAAATGTCAAGCAACTTTGCAGGAAATAGTAAAGACACAGAGAGTTATGGCACCATCGTCTTGCTCATTTAAAGTCGGAAATCCATGAAATTATTGAAGGACAAAATGTCAACTGGTATGTGATATTCTGGTCAAGGTTCACCCTGTACTTCTTGCATACAAGGTAAGCAAACTACAACTCCTTATTCTAAAAAGAAGAAAGGAACTCGCGCAGCAGAAATTTTTGGATTAGTGCATTCCGACTTATGCGGCCCAGTGAATGTTAGTTCGCATGGAGGAGCTTAATATTTACTAACTCTCATTGATGATTTTTCAAGAAAGACATTCGGCTACTTGGTACTATTCGGTAATGGAGGTTAATTTGTAAAGAAAGAGAGAGCTAGAAGATTTTCTGAAAGCTTCTGGAGTACAACATCTCAAAATGGCGTTGCTGAGAGGGCAAATCGTACAATTTTTGAGAAGACTCGTTCTCTGCTGCATGATTCTGGGTTAGACAAAAAGTATTGGGCTGAAGCAGCTAATAACTGTAATTTATTTGAAGAATCGGTCTCCTGCTAAAGCTGTTTTTGGGAGCACACCAGAAGAGGTGTATGGACCGACAAGAAAGTTGATCTTAGTCATTTGTGAGTTTTTGGTTGCGCAAAGCCTTTGCTCACGTACCAAGTGGACAAAGAAAGAAGCTCGATCCCAAGTCGTGAGTTGATTTTTGTTGGTTATTGCCAAAACTCTATAGCCTACAGACTAGTTGATCCTCTAAGATAATCATATCCAAAAATGTTAAATGTTCTTAGAAGAAAAACCAGTTGAAGGGGGAGAAGTGAGAGATAAAAATCATATATAAGATTTTAGATCTATCAAATGATGACTCAGAGAGTAGAGCCAAAACTGAGATGATGTTAATGATGTCATAGCTGAGAATGTATCAAATCTGGAAGAGGAGATGTATACAGCAGATGATCATGAAGCAGAACCAGAGGTGAGAAAGTATCCACCGAGACAACGGAAACCAAAGGACATTGGACCTTTTCAAGTGTATAATCTTGTTCATGATCACACCAATTCATAATTTGGATTTGTCAACTGCTTTTTTGAACAGAAAGCGGAAAGAAGCCCTATATATTTAACAGCCTGAAAACTTTCTTGTGTCAAGAAAAGAAGACAAAAAATGTTCCTGGCCCAAATAAACATTAAGGGGTGGTTAGAGAAGTAATATTTCTCATCTTGTCTTTACATCATCACCTGATCAATATTAGCCTAGTTGTCTTGTTTGCCTTTTGTATGGTTTGGATTGGTTTGAAGTAGCCCAATTGTTAAAAAGATGTATTAATAATTTGTTCAGTATAAAAACATTTCCATTAGGCCTATATTTCTGGGCTACCGTATTACATTAACTATTGAAAATAACTTTTTTGAATGTAGCCTACAGTAAACCTATCAAAAATATCAAGAAATTGATTTTATTCCTACAGAGCCTAGTTCCTTGTGCGCCCTTGTGTTTGACCTTATTTAGCGATACCGCTATTATAAAATGGATTGAAGAAAAACAAATTGCGAGATTGTTGGCTAGTGTTGAAAGGTAGGACAGAGAACAATATTTAGTGGAAAGATCTACTGGTGCATTTACTTGTGAACCTTTTTTTCAAGAAAAAGAGCTTTGAGAAAATGAGTAGGCTAGTCCTTCTAACAATTGATTTATTTCATTAGGGTATACCATACTTATTTAGTACACTACCTACCTATTGATTTTTCTTTCTAATTTTATACTATAGCTAGTACCGTACTGTAATAGGCTGTATGTAAAAACGTAAAATTTTTTAATCCACAACACTTATGTAGGCTATTATTATTGTTTATTATACCTAAAATTTTCTATTTTATAACGTATAACTCATAAAAAATGTTTTTCTAACAGTTTTGTTGCTATTAAAGTGTTTTTAATCATCATTGTAGAGTTTTTGTACTCTCGGAGGTAACATCCGTGAGCGCCCTTTGGTGTTTGAAAATCAATGCGCCCGACAGAAGGCTAACAGGACTTACGGTTTAGCCTACTGTACTTCAATAAAACCAAACATAATAATAAAGGTACTGTGTAAGGTAAGGTAAGTGTTGCTTAGTATTATTCACAGCAGTTTTTCATTATTTGTAGGCCTACTATTTATTTTAGAACTCTTAAAAAAACTAAATTTACAAAGTGCAAGTTTTTTCTTGTCATTCAAGCAAGAGATGGGTAATAAAGTTTTATAAATTCTTAGAGATAATTTAGGCCTATCAGTTAAGGGGGGCGTACACTTGCCCCATGGGAAAATGTACTTTTGCCCCTAAAATGTGTTTTAAACACAGTGTGCCGCCCACCCCTAACTCCCCAAAATTGACTTTAAGGGCTATAAAAATGTGTGAATTTCCCCTCAAAAAATAAAAAGTTAAGATCACCAAATTTCAGTTAGCAGGCCTATCCTTATTTTTTTAGTATTTTTTTTTTTTTTTTATTTAACGAGCGGCACTTGTGTTTTGAGTAGAAACGTAAGAGGTTCTTAAACATGTCTAAACTCATAGAAATCATAGGTAAGGTAAACTTAGCAAGAGAATTTATTAGTGATTAGACTAATTTAAAAGAGCAAAAAAGTAGGTTATAAAAGTTTTGAATACCTTTGGCCAAGTTTTCAATTTTTTTTATTAATAAACAAATCTATTCGCTGGAAGTCCACTTGCCTCGGGAGTAGGACTTACCGCACTTGACCTTAATTTTAAAAAAAACACGAGGAGAAGCACGCAGTGGTATCAACCAGTACATGACAAAAAGCTGTCGCTAGACTAAAATGAGGAGTTAAGGGCACTCTGACCTGAAATTTTTAATTGTTTTAATTTTTTTTTATTGATGATTATTATTCTAAATTAAATCCTCTTTCTAACGATATAATACATACTGTATGGAAAAAAACATTTCCATCTGTAAAAAAATTAAAATGATTCACATTACTTGGAGGAACGAGTTCCTTTTTACATGTACTACGCTTAGTTGCCTGGCATTTCGGCCGTCCCCCGAAAATTGTTAATTTTTAACTTATATTACACTTTACTCAAAAACTATTACACATATCTCAACCAAATTTTTACCACATGTTTATAGTAACAATATCTAGTTCCTTACACAAGACTTTAAAATTACCTCTAAAAATAACAATAATAAAAAATATTCAAATAAATATTTTTAAAACAATTTTTATATATTTAAAAAAAATAAAAATTCTCGGCAAATCCTTGTTATTTTTTAAAACCCTTGCATAAGGAACTAAAACAAGGACAAATTTACACTAGAAACAAAAATTAGATCTCTAGCCTAGTCCTTATTAAACTTTATTAATGTGTATTATAGCTACCATTGAGTTTAAATAGGAATCGGAGTGCCCTTAAAGGACGGACGGTACCTATGTACATAAAAGTATGTCACAGTTTTCCTGGGATATGGTGTGAACTTATGCCACAGAAAACTTACTGCTATAGGCCTAACCCAGAATGCTGACCGTGTGGAGCTTAGTTTGTCAATTTGTAGGCAGCGCCACCAGCATACAATGCACCAGCATAGTAATGATGGTGGCGCTGCCTACAAATTGACAGGCAAAGCTCAACGCGGTCAGCATACTGGGATATAGTAGGGTACCTATGTTTTCTGAGCTTAGGCATGGTAAAGGCTGACAATAAGTTACCAACAAATATTTTTTACGCATATATATACCTATATAATTTTTACGCAAAACAGTACAAACATTTAGACAGATCTTTGCGACCTCTCACGGGTTAAATCAGCTGCAAGCCTACCTGTTTTAACTTAAGTAGTGATGGACTCACTGGGCCTTAAAGTTAGATTTGTCAGCCTAGGTCTAGATTAGGATATTTTTAATTCCTCTAGCCTAGCCTAAATGAATTATGAACTGACTAAAATGTCTGTTGGCTGCAGGTAAAACCTTTTACAAATCCTAGACATTGCCCATTACGTTTAGACCATTAGACTCTAAGCTTAAACTTATGTTATTGCCAATTGCTAAAAATATGTCGCTCAGATCTAGGCCTACCTACATTAAAATTTGCCTTCTCCGAATAGAAAAAATCCTAGGCTAAGCCAGGGTATAAAATGATTTTAGATTCAGTCTGAACTAATTAGGTCTAGAATGATAGAGTAGGCCTAGGCCTACCGTATTTTGTTAATGGAACTTTGGGTAGGCTAACTTAGCGCCAGCTAGGCTAATAATATGAAACTTACTTTTCAGTTGGTCCAGAGGGGGGGTTGTTTTCCATTATATCCAAATACAGGCTTATTCTAATGAACACACACGCTCATAATCAATTAAAGGCACAATATAATAATTGCATATAATAGAAGTGAATTTAACACTGCAACATCACGATGCATTTAACCCATTAGAGAGAAGGTATTTAGAGCTATTTTGCGACACTTATTCACATTTCACAAATCACTAAATATTATTATACAATTAGAAACACAATTTTATCCTGGAAAGGCACAGCACTATTTATTAATTCGTACACAAACGATAACACCGTACGAGACACTACACGCAAACAGAACCCGAATACAACTAGCCTAACTAGGCTAAGGGCTAAGGCTGCTAGGATTGGTTTCCAAAACAACCAACAAGTGTCAGCCATCTTGGTTAATTAAATGGCTAACCAGTCCTCCAATTTGTGACATTTTAAACTAAAGGCTAAGCGATGGGTGCAACGTAATTTCAAGGAATATTTTTTATTCTAAGAGTACGTTTTTTCAATAATTATATTTTTGATTAGTGATGTGACGAGTTGAGTTAGCGAGTCGAGTTGACTCGAGTCAAGACCCGAGTCGAGTCAACTCGAGTCAACTCAATTCCAACTCGAGTTCTTTTACGAACTCGTACGGAGATTGCCGAAGCTACACGAACTCGTAACGTTACGAGTCCGACTCGCAAATGCCGAGTCAAGAAACCGAACTCATACGGAGAAAGCCGAACCTTAACGAACTCGGGACGTAACGAGTTGACTCGAGTTTACTCGCACTCGCTTTCGGCCAATAGCGTCACAGCTTTACGAGTCAACTCGCATAGATTCAACGCTATTGGCCGGTACCGAGTCGGCCGACTCGCAAAACTAACGAACTCGTACGGAGAATGCCGAACTCACACGAACTCGGAACGTCTCGAGTCGAGTCGAGTCGACTCGTAAAGCTGACACGCTATTGGCCGGTACCGAGTCGGCCGACTCGCAAAACTAACGAACTCGTACGGAGAATGCCGAACTCACACGAACTCGGAACGTCTCGAGTCGAGTCGAGTCGACTCGTAAAGCTGACACGCTATTGGCCGGTACCGAGTCGGCCGACTCGCAAAACTAACGAACTCGTACGGAGAATGCCGAACTCACACGAACTCGGAACGTCTCGAGTTGAGTCTGACTCGACTCGTAACTCGAGTTCACGGCAGTTGGCGAGTCGAGTCACTCGAGTCAGGAAAGTACCCGACTCGTCACATCACTATTTTTGATAAATGTAAACAAATGCATAATTTGTGATTATTGTATGACTACTAGCGCATTCTCTAGGAGAACAAATCAAACTACACCATGACAAAACAGTAAGAAGAAATAAATTATTATTCAATCAACAGCTGATCTAAACAGTAAATAGGCAAAACAATAAAAGACAGTTAAAATAGAGTACTGTATGTTTAGTTTTATCTATGCTTTGAATATTGATACAATGTAGGTAATATCATAGATAAAACATACTCCGTAATATCATAGAATATAGACTTTTCATCCCATTGTAAATTTTGTAGCTCGTTTTTCTATACGTGTCTAGTTCATGTCCAGTTACACTAATCGCTAGTATCAAACAAAATTTTGTTTCTATTATTTTGGGTTTCATTTCATGAATTTTACTTTACTGTTCGGTTATATACTTAATACTTAGGCAGGGTGCACACTGGAGAAACCCGTTTCAGGAAACTGGTTTCATTAAATTTGTTTCAAGGAAACCATTTCTTTAACAAATGCACACAGAAGAAACGGGATTCCATCAGTTTCGTTCGTGGTGGCTAAAGGAAACTAAAAGAAGGAAGTATTGGGTTCACCTGTTGATTAGGGATGGTCAACACAGTACTTACATTGTAGCTCATTAATTATGCAGTGATACTGTCATATTTGTTGGTATTTTAGAATGCCAAAGCCTCTTTTTGAACGTTTGGTGGAATTACTTAGCCCACTAATAACAAAGAAGGACACCGACCGGAGGTTAGCTCTGAGTGCTGAGGAAAAATAACAATACATTGAGAAAGTCAATAAAACCAATAGAAACGTGAAACTGAAGCCTATACGAAATCTGTTTTTTGGATTTCATGTATACCAGTTGCAAGAAACAAATGAAATTAAAGTTTCATGCAACGCAGTGTGCACTGCCCTGTGTTAAGCTAATCTTTTTGTTGCGAGCAACTTAAGTTTCTCGTTTCATGAAATCAGTTTCCTGAAACGGGTTTCTCCAGTGTGCACCCTGCCTAACTTGCATACTTGTATTTATCCCACTGGAAGCTTTTCAGCCGTGGTCATCATTGGTAGTTGTCAGCCTTTTTCACTCTTCAAGGAATTCCCCTACTGAATAATAGGCTTTATTTAATAGAAACTTCTTCAGCATTTTCTTGAATTTAGCTTGATCTACAAAATCTTATTTCTTGTGGTAATTTATTGAAAATTTTGCTTCCTAAATATTAAGGGCTAGTCTGTGCTAGTGTAGTTCTGCGATGGTTGATATGGATACTATTTTTTTGTCTTGTGCTGTACCTATGTGAGTGAAAATTAAAAAACGTACGTTTTCATGTCCCTGGCCTTTTACTTCGTAGATACTGGATTTAATATTTTTTGGGACGGGGGCAACATGTTACACACATTTATTTGGTTTTAAATAGGTTCTAGGTATTTTTTTCGTATATTTAAAGTCTCGAAATTCACGACCATGACGTGTCCCTAGGGTACATTTTCCAACTTTCACGCTGTTTTTAGACTAATTATTCATGCCGAAATATATAAAGCCATATTTTTATGTCATCAATGGTTATTAAATTTACATAAAAGGGGCATATTATAATTTTATTGTCATTGCAAACTGGCTACCATTACAAAATAAGTCTGTCCCTCGATTTGGCGTCACGACCATTTGGGAAAAATTTTCAACTTTGGAGCACGACAGTGGCAAGCCTGGCATCGATGGAGTCAGTTGGTTTTAGAGACTAGTTCGGGGTGTACGTCAGGATTGTAGTGCCGGTCGTTTCGAGTTGAAAGGAGGAATTACAAGATTAATAAAGGAAAGATTGTGTTTTTTGTCATTTTGGTGTGTCCATGACCGTACGTAGTCATTCGATGAAGTAGACATGGTGTTAATTTTTGTTTATTAGATATTTCAATTGCTAGATTAACCTAGAAGTCCACTTTGTATCCTCGAACCTGAGGTGCAGGGCTACCGCCAGAACAGAGCCAAATAACACGTAATTTCACGACCAAAGTTTCACGACCATCGCGGGTTTTTTCACGACCAATCAAGCCTTATGGATTATAGTGTGTTTGGTCGTGACAATAACTTTAATATAATTGTAAATTGAACAGTTTAGTTCAATTGAAACACATATTTTTATTATAACTAACAGTATAGTTGAAGGATTGTTTAGGAAGATTAAGATTATTCCAGACAATTCACGACCGTACCGCTTGTCCCTGACCATCACGTTTATGATTTCTATCATAAAAATTTCAAAAATTAAAATATCGTCATATTTCAATGTTTTATACACAAAAAAGCACACCTCTATACACACATAACGATTTTTCGGGTCTCAGGTAAGTATTTTTCGGAGTTATACAAACTTAAAAAGATTTTATTGGCTTTTTTTCAATTTTTTTAGTTTTTTTTTTCTAGAAAGACCAAATATACCAAAAGCTCAGTGACCTTTTTATTGTATAATGGTCGTAAAAGTAAATGTGTTTATAGCAAAACATAGTTATAAAAATAATATTAACCATTTTTAATATTCATTTAAACGTCCGTTATGGTCGTGACAGGATTTTGTGCTTTTCCACTAAAGATGCTCTTTTTAAAAAAAACTACCAAAGGTATTGCGTTACCATGGACATTTTATGAAACTTCAAATGTTAATGAAATAAAAAAAAATAATGAAAGTTTTGAAAAAAGGGGAAAAAAATTGCAAAGTGCTTTTCCTGAAAACGTACGTTTTTAAATTTTCACTCATGTACTTCATTATTTCTTGGGGGTAAATCGGGAAATTTAAGAACATTTAAGGCCGATTCCAATATATATGCTGATGGCAGGGTAAGTATTTGAAGTTCCTTGAATAAAGGTTCGCAGAGTGCTCTATGAAGTGAGTTTTACATAGATGATTCTTAAAACACGTTTTTGTAGTAGAAAGATTCTATTTGCCTCACTCACTACAGTTTCCCCAGAATGCAATTCCATAGCAAAGTACACTGTGGAAGCAGCCATGACAATGCTCTGAGAAGATTAAATACTCTTGAAAAGAAAATAGAAATAGATCTGGAATTTAAAGAAGCTTACACAATGTAAGATTGACGAAAATATCGAAAAAGGATTTTTTAGAAAACTCAGCCTAGTAAAAGCTGGTATCATAACAGGTCGAACATTCTATCTACCCCACTTTGGAGTACCGAACCCGAACAAACCTATCAAAAATAAGATTGGTTTTCGATGCTGCTGCTAAATTTCACGGAGTCTCGTTCAATGATGCTACTCAGTAGTGGCCCTGACTATTCCAATCTATTGCCATCTGTGCTGTTGCAATTCTGATTGGGAAAATTTGCCATCGTGGGAGATATAAATGAGAATGATGTTTCACCAGGTGAATATAAGAGATGAAAACGTTGACTCTCGCAAATATTTCTGTGGCGAAAAGACAAAACCAACCCCCCAGATACCTACACAATGAAAGCGATGACCTTCGGAGCAACATGTTCACCAAGCTCTGCACTGTTTGTTGTAAACCACAATGCAAGACAGTTTTTTCACTCTTCGTACCCTGAAGCTAGTAACTCCATACTGACTAAAGAATATATGGACGACCAACTGGATTTGACCGACACAGAAGAGGAAGCTAGACGTCGTGTTCAAGAAATAATTGAGATACATAGGGCTGGAGGGTTCCAAATTTGTAACTGGATGTCTAATTCAAAACTTTCAAAACTTTCGAAAATTCCTGAACACCTGAAAGCCAGCCAAACCAAAAACATTTGATGCCCGATACTCGACTTCCAAACGAGTACTTGGATTTATGGAGGGACGCTGAATCCGACTGCTATGTGTTCCATCGCAATATTGAACAACTTGAATTTCTCGAATCTGAGTATCCGACGAAACAGGTGATTCTTAAAGCAGCTAATGTCGATCACCTCGGTCTGATTGCCCCTACCCACGATTACTATAAAAAACCCGGTATGGATCATAAACATAAACAAAATGACGTTGTTGGCCCGAATCCTATACTAATAGCATTGAACATATGTTTTAGCAGTTCCATTTAACCAATGTTAAATCATGTTTATTTTCGGGCCAAAAACGTCATTTGTTGATGTTTATGATCCATGTTTTT